TCAAGTCAGGCTTTATTGTCAGTTCACTATACATGCCACCAGCATACAAAAAAGGAAGCGGCAGAAGTCGTTTCTCACTCTCCCACGGGGGTGAACAGGGATAAAGGTGCGCACAGGCACAACAGACAAGACATGTCAGTGTCATCCATCTTCATATATGTCGATGGGCCCGTCTCACAGTTTGAGAACGACTGGGGTAAGGCCGCATTCATATTGCAGCCCTCTCATTTATTTGAATAGAGCCGGTCTGGCAGCGCAGTGGGGGTTACTTTTTACCATGAACACAATATTTCTTTTAAAGGTCCAGTGTGTAACATTTAGGAGGGTCTATTGGCAGTAATATATTATTCACAGGTATGTTTCATTAGTGTATCACCTGAATAGTTGTGTTTTTGTTACCTGAGGCTTTTGTATCTACAGATGCCAGAGGTCACCATGAGGAGGCCATGTTGAATCGCCATGTTTCTACAAACTGAACACTGGCTCTAGATAGTGGTGTTTGCGTGTTTCCCAGATTTGATGGTCACTGTAGTTTCTCCTTCGCACTTGAATTGCGATCTGCAGTTACACCACTACATTACACCCCTCATTTCCTGTCAATTTTATTGAGATAACACATATTGGGGTTTTTGTTTGTACATATACTATAAAATAACCTCAGTAAAAACCTTGGCTACATCTGCTCATTCCTACTATTCATTCCTTCTGAACTGAACATGCTTCTGTCAGTGAATCTACTCTGAAAGATTCATTACAGGCCTTCGCATGAAAACCTGTGACCTAACACTGATCCCAGCTGATTCCTTCTTTTTAACAGTTACAGACTCTATGCGACTGCCTCCTCTGACAGAATTTTATGAACCACAGCCTGCCAATAGGATTCAGGTGGAGCTGTGTCGGGGGAGTGGAAGCTAGAGTTGATCAACTCCTCAGAGGGAGGTTTCAGCGTGTTCAGGCAAGACATACTGCCTCACATTGCCTTTTCTTCATCTGTGAGTTGTAAGGAAACCTCAGAGCTCCTCTAATTGCTAAGAGTTGCTGACATTTTCAGGTCTTCTCCCGTCTTATCTCCTCACTGGATCACGAGTAAGAAGTGAGACTGAAGTTAAATGAGAATGCAGGACAAGGCCAACAGGGATTTACAAAAGAAATCAGTGGGAGAGATCAGTGATCAACAGGAGCAGCAGCCTCAAGGTACTGTGACAAGAAATACTGTCTTACACTGATGGTTAATACTATACTGACCCCCTGTGTGATAGTAATATGGTAAATAACTGTATATACAGGACAAACTTTACTGTTTGTCTGTTTCTTCCTGTGACCGAATTTCCTTTTAATCATCTTCCAGGTGGGTGTCTTTGGCAGAGTAGCATCTGATTGCCCAATCATACATTTCCTCACTTGTTGATGCTTCTAAAATACTGTGTGACATGTGTTACATGTAAAATACATCATATAATGGAGATTAAAAACACAATTTTGCTAATCTCAAATCATATTCTGGAGTCTCACAGTTAACCCATATGTGTCATTTCCCCATGTTGTGTCACTCTTCCTGCTTATAATATTCAACACAATATCTCCCATGTGTCACTCAGTTAAAGCAGGCTTTTGAAAACACTTTTCAATTGGAAAACTGCAGTATTTTTTGGTGCCAAGTCCCTGTTTTCTCTTCCCCAGATGAGAGTAAAACAGGTCAGATGAGGATCTTCACCAGGTGGATGAATGTGTTTCTGCAGAGAGTAAGGCATAAATCAATGTGATTCTTTCATACTTTAGCTCATAAATGGATTCACCAATAAGTTTTATCATTTACTATTTCCAGCGTAATCCTCCAGTTGAAGTGCACGACCTGTTCACAGACATTCAGGACGGCAGAATACTGATGGCTTTGCTGGAGGAGCTCTCTGGGTGCAAACTAGTAAGAGTTAATTTATACAGTGTAACAATTTGATGTCACAAAGAAGAAGAAAATACAGTACAACACTAGTAAAGGACTAGTTTGTAAGATTAAGTATCAACAGTGGCCACAAAAGGCAAAAGGCCCAATCTAGAGCCAGTGTTTGGTTTGTCCCCTCTGGGCTACTGTAGAAACATGGCGGTTCAAGATGGCTAATTTAATAGAAAAGGACGCACTCCCCCAATAGATAAATAGAGTTCACTGTAATGTGCCAAAAACACAATAATTCTTATTTTCAGGTAATTATACACTAATGATACCTATGGATATTGCCAATATCGATATCTGCCAATAGATCCTCCATAATGTTACACACCTGTTCAGTTCATTAGCTCTGCACCATATTTGTGATCCTTTAAACAAATTCAAGATAGTCAGGTGACTGTTTAAGATTGATACAACTGTCATGTCAGCAAATATGAAGCCAGTTAGCTTAGCTTAGCACAAAGACTTGGGGCAGAGCAGCTGGCCTGGCTTTGTTTATAGGCAAACAGGCAACAAACAATAAGTCACTTTTTTTGTTTTCCTTTGGAGAGAGCCAAGCTAGCTGTTTCCAAGTTTTCTGTGTTTACACTAGGCAAAGCTGACCGGCTGCTGGCTGTAGCTTTATATTGGCTGTGCATAAGGGTGGTATCAATCTACTTCTCGTGTTTCCTGAAACTCTAAACTATTCCCTTAAACGTTTTGTCTTATATTAGCTTTACAGGTTTAGGTCGTCTCCTCACCGCATTTTCAGACTGAACAACATTTCTAAGGCCCTGGCTTTCCTGGATGATAGACATGTGAGTGTGTTTGCTTGTTAATCAATTGTTTTGACATGTCATACATTTACAATTAAATCAGGAAAAACATGATCGCGGATGACGTCTCCTCCCTGTTGTCCCTTAGGTGAAGCTGCTTGGCATCGATGCCTCTGGTATTGCTGATGGCATCCCTTCTGTTGTTCTTAACCTTGTCTGGATCATCATCCTGTATTTCCAGGCAGGCTATTTCCCATCATCCATCACTCTAACATCTTAATATATTATTTTCCTCTTTGCCCAGTGGTTTGTCTTTGTCACTGACCTTACATGCACTCCACTTTTTTTATCCTAATACAGGTAAAGGAGGTGACAGGAGGGCTCCAGAGGCATTTGTCTTCTAGCCTCTCTTCCTTATCAATGAGCACTTACCCCTCCTCCGGTGACCTCTCACCTCAGCCAAATGACATTGGCAGCTACTCCTGCAACACCCTGCCAAGCAAAGGCAGAAAGGCTGCCAGAGAGGCAAAGTACCATGGGAAAGCAATCAAGACTCTGCTGCAATGGGTCCAAACATGTACATCAAAGTGAGTCTGAACACGATGCAAACGCTTAGAAATTCATTTTTGTCAACATAACATCCCGAACCCAAAAATTATACTTATACAACCACAATGAGGGAAGGGAAATGTGTGTGAGCTGGCTGTGTTGAGCTTCTGTTTTTTTATTATGCAATTTTAAATTTGCAGCTTTGGGGTGGAGGTGCATGACTTTGGGAAGAGCTGGAGGAGTGGGCTGGCATTCCTAGCTATGATTAAGTCCATAAACCCAGCCTTGGTTGACCTGAGAGAGAGCCTGTCTAGAGTGCCAAGAGAAAACGTCCAGCTGGCTTTCAAGATAGCCCATCACAGTTTGGATATACCACCTCTGCTGGAGCCTGAAGGTAAAAGCGTACTGAATATAAAGTGTCCCACATTGGTCAATTTTCATCCTCATAACAAATGACTTTCTGCATCTTCACCAAGACAGTGCTACCCCTGCACCTAAATAGGTGCTAGAAACCCCCCACGGGGGAATGATACCACTTATCACAGACCAGAGGAGTAAATCAGAAGCATTTGCCCCATTGCAGACCAATTTAAAAGTTGACCTTGCTTAATAGTGTCTTTAGTAACAGTTTATCCTGCTAAAAAAAAACTATTCCTCTTTCCCCAGATGTTTTGTGCACTTCACCAGATGAGCGGTCCATCATCACATATGTGTCTATGTTCCTGGGGCATTGTTCAGGCATAGAAGAGGTTAGTACGGCCTAAATATTGTAACATTTTTGCTTTTTTACTTTCTTGCTGAGAGCTAGATGAGAAAATTGCTACCACTCTCATATCTGTTACATATGAAGCTACCAGCTGGGAAAAATCTTACTTCTATGTGCAGGAGTATTTCTTGCCTGGGTGCAGTAAGGATTAAAGGTTCTTGTACCAATTAAACAAATGAGATATATTATGTCTTTTGGTTTTAAAGGTGCTGGTAGGCAGATTTTGTTACCTTTGGATGGAACCAAGCTAGTCTTTATGCTAAGCTAAGCTTACTGGCTGCTGGCTGTAGCTTAATTTGTAACTCTCAGGAATGTCAGTGGCATCATCTTTCCCATCTAATTCTCTTGAATGACAAATGCATTTACAAACACTATGAATAAAAGATAAAGCATTATTTGCACTGACATCATGTAACTACCACTCATAAATCATATATTACAGGATCGTATAACCGATTTGGAAGTTCCAGAGATCCCAAATTTTGGATCACTTGAGTCAGTCAGCCTTGGGGAGACCGATGACCCAGAAATGCAAGCTTTGCTGAAAGGCTTGGAGAAGAGCAGTGAGCAGCAATTGTGGAAACAGTGGGGTAGAAGACCCTCAGGAACTTCGGACGTCTCATCCAGTCGTAGCCAAAGCATCACTGAACAACCTGCAGGCAGTGCCGCAACCTCACCATTCAACAAAAGCAAGCATCGAAGCATTTTAAAGCCACCCAGTCCGCTGGATGCAGACGTAGTCAGCCAGGACATCAGATCATGGATGGAGAAAGCGTCTCTGGATCAGGGCTACAACAAGCCAAGAGTGGATGATCATTTTTCTTTGAGCTCAGAGGAAGGAATCTACAGTTTGTCAGCACTGGACTCAGATGAGGAGGAGGCCTACAGCTACATCCTGGATCTGAATAAAGAGGTTTTTCAACCATATAATCAGCTGAAAAGACCAGTACCAAGGGTTGAAGAGGAAACAGCAGAAGAAATGTTCCTGAATGGACAGCAGCAAGAGTCAAAACATCCGGAAGTATGCAAGACGTTTAACGGCAGCGGATGTAAACATGAAAAAAGCTCACTTGCACAAAATGTTGAACCAGAAGTCAGGGCTCAATCGGTGGTTCATAGGAAGTTTGATCGGGACAAGAATGAAAGTAGCTCCAGAAAGCTGGCAAACAACGGAGCTATGTTTGATGTGGAGCCAGAGGAAGAAAGCAGAAGCAGAGAGGGACGTGAAGAGGAGAGAGTTGTCATAGGACAGAGTAATGATGATGCTGATTACTGCGAGGAAGAGAGAAAGAAGGAGAAGACAGAAAATGCTACATTGGTGATGCATGGTTATGATAAAACAGAGGCTCTGGTGGACGAAACCAAGAAAACAAGGCTTTTTGAGGTGGCTAGTTGGAAGAAAGAGCTTCAGGAACCGACTGAAAGAGGGCTTTTTGACAAACGTCGACAAGGCAGTGAGAAAAGAACGGCAGATGGAGAAGAGGAGGAAGACAATTTGACAACGTTTGAGGAAGGGCGGGACAAAAAGTTAGTGAAAGAAAAAGAGGGAGAGGATATTGTAAAGGAGGAAGAGAGGGAATATCAGCAAAGTGGGAATGTAGAAAGTTTCATGGTGGGAGTAAATGAAAAAATATTAATAGACGTGGCTGTAAATGAAGTCAGAGGAGCTGATGCAACTGGAATTAAGACAGAAGAAGAAAATGAGAGGAAAGTCATTGCCGGCCCCAAAATGGAAGATTTAGCTTGTAATGATGAAGGCAAGGAGGTATTCAGTGGTGAAATCATTAATTTAATGGATTTTGAGGCAGTTACAACAGAAGATGACAAAGACAGGGAATTTAAGATTAACAGACGGAAACTGACTGTTAAGAAGGCAACAACAAAAGATCATCCTGGTAAAAATGCCCCAAAAAATGGAGGGACCGACCATAGCAGTGATAACAGTTGGACTCCTGCCTGCAGTGCAACCTCTCAGTCAGTCAGGTAGGTCATAGCATTTGTGATTTATGTGTACAGATATAATTGACTGTTGGCTAAGCACTGCCTCCTTGATTATGGTAACAATGTGTCAAGCTTTCAGTTTGACATGGTACAAATGCAGTTTACAGTGATAACGGCAGCATTTGACGCTCATTTCTGGCAGTTGTTGATGGCATGTTGTTGGCCGAAATTATGACTGATGCCAGCAGATTTTGTCATCTGTAGCTAACTTGAGCGAACACCTCTGTGAGGTGGTGAAACCTCTGGCTCAAGCTCAAGTTTTATTCATTCCAAAAGCAGAAATCCTGTAAAAGGCTGTTAAATATGCGCAGGATGGCTATATATGATATAATGCTAAAAGAATGTGGCTAGATCTACATCCCAGGCAAAAAAAAACAGCATCCTCACCAGTTAATGATCAATGGAAGACAAGGAAATAAAGGAGCAGCACACACAGTTTTTGTATTGCAACTTAGAGCTAGCCAGCCCTAACATTACCATATAGCACATATTATAATTAAAATTGAGTTCCAAAATGTTCATCATTCTAATATAACCCTTGAATAAATTGGCAAACGTACCCTGTGTGATACAAGTTTGGCTGGAGTTGCTTGAGAGTAAACTTCCCAAACCAAATAAAGAGCAGGACAGAGTTAGCATGAACTCTGATACACTAGCATCTTGGCTCACACAGGACAGATGTTAACAGCTATTTTGTAATTTAACCTGTAACCTCACAAAATAATGTGATACCTAATAACTAGTTAATGACAGGCCCACTGCTACTGTTTGCAGCTAATGCTAGAGCACACTGTTTAATCAGATTCTTACAGTACACTTATGTTCTTATATCGATTATTGATCATACTCCAGCCCCAAGCATAGCAGGTTCACCGTCAACAATACAAAGAGGCTGTGTTTGGTTTTGTTGTTTTAATCTAACTTCCATTTCTTTATAATCAATATGAACGTGAAATGTCTAATCTAACACTCTTATCTGCTTTTCGACAGAGAGGGAGAATTCATTCTTCAGTCTTTAGCAGGCTTGTGTGACATAACCCCATTAGAGCTGGAAATGCTCTTGGTCCTGTGGATTCTGCTCTACTGCTGCTTCATCCTACCTCAAATGAACCTCTGAGTCCCCCTGTAGTACACCCTTCTCATTAAGATATGCTTATTAACCCAGTTTCCACAAATGAGCCAAACAGGGACACGTAGGGCTGGGTTGACTCTTTATCTGTGTCACCAAATTTCCCTCAAGGCAGCATTTAATGATTATGTTTTCTTTTTGCTGCCAGCAGAAATAATTTGTCATTTGGGCTATCGTTGTCAGATTAACACATAATGCTGTTATTTCCATTATTACAATTTTTTCAGCTACTTGGTCTTACAATACACCAATTATTAGAAATGGTTTGTGAGTTTTAGTGCGTTTTTGCTGAATGCATGTTCAAAATGCTCTGTTTATTTGATTTATCTTTCTGGCAGAAATACTCCTTTCACTTCCAGTGGATTTTACTAACCACATGGTGGCATTGCAGCATTACAGCAGCAACTGTCTCACATGAAAGACTGTCATTACAGCATTCTGTTGACGGCTGAGAATCCCATATGACCTGCTGTTTAATTAGAAGCTGTATTGACATGGTGAGATTAAGCTGATAATATTTAATGAGCACTTTGACATTTCGTAGACTCTCCCTGTGTCACTTGTGGCTTAGAATGTATATTGTTTCATTGTTTTCATCTCAAATACTGTATGATAGTTAAAGCCTTTCAACAATGCAAGCTTTTTTCGTGACATTTCTGTCACTATGAGATATAAATAATAAACCAGATACTCATTCTGTGTCATATATCTTCTGATCCTTTCCACAAGATAGAATCAGGCACTTTTCAGGTGCTGTAGACACATTACGCACATGTATATTGTCTTTGTTATAATACCAGTGTATACACAGTGAAACTAGAGCAAAACTGAAGTATGCATCAGTTGCATAAGTGTTCAAAATCCATGTTGACCACAATGTGTATTAAAGGGGGAGGATGAGTATGCTCTGTCCTCACTGTCCACAAAATACACACACACACTCATTGGCTCTGAAATTCTAAGAAACTAAGCATGCCGCCATTGTTTGCTTGGAGCTCAACCTAAGGGTCAAAAGCCCCCGGAGATCGATATACTTTCAACACTACCGCCACCCCCGCACCAAGCCACAAGAACAACACTTCCCAAAAGCTGGAGTTTGGCCGGTCTTACGTGAGATCAACCTGCGGCTTTTCTGAATCAGGCCAAGGCAGGATGGTGAGAGAAGGAGCGATAATGTCTGTTATGTACATTTTTCCATGTCTGACAGTGCTGGCATTGCTAACGGGTTGCACAGCAGATGGGTCGGCTCTACCAAAGTCTGAGAAACGCTTCAGCGGGCCTCTGCAAAGGGAACAAGAGGTCAATCAACAGCAACAGCTCAACACATCAGCCCTAAACACAGCCTTGGCCTTTGAACCTTTCCATGACCTGTCCACCAGAACTAATACTGAGCCTGGGATCCAGCAGCAGAAACAGCACAACATCTTATTCTCGCCCTTGGGCCTGGCGTCAGCCCTGGCCCTGCTGTCCCGAGTGTCTGGGTCTGAGAGTCGGAGCCAGGCCCTGGAGGCACTGGGGCTGGCAGCCAACTCTACAGAGCAGAGTGTGGAGGCCGCCATATCTGCTCTTATAGATCTGCAACATAGCCTCACTTTCCAGGAGAGAGGGGGTGGAGGGGGGGTTCAAAGGGCAGAGTCTGAGGCTGGAGCCGGAACAGAAGCTGGGATTGGGGCCTCAGCAGGGGTGGAAATTGGAGGGGCAGATGCTGGAAACAGAGCTGATGCAGATGATGGAGCAGAGGGTAGGGCTGGAACTGAGGATGGGGTTCATGCTGGGAGTCAGATCAGAGTGTGGAGCGGCCTACATATTGATGGAAAACCCTCACTAGACTATGATAGTTTTTTGTCCACGTCTCAACACACTGGACCCTCTGCCTTCAATATCAGCTTTGAGACGCTGATGAAAGACTTGCAAACCTCTGACAAACTTGAACTTAACAATTATGTGTATTTCAAAGGTAGGGCCTTGCTTTATTGGTGATGAAAGTCGCAGTTTTTGTACATTCATATTTTCAACATATGGTCGGGAGGTATTCCTGCACATTAAGGGTATAAACAATCAGACAGATATGTTGCTTTTTAAAAGAGATTCAAATGAAAGCTGAAATAAAAATGAATTGCTGCTAAATTAGAAAACTCACTACAGCTTCAAAATGTGCTCATTGTGTCAATGCAGTACCACCCACTGCATAGCACATTGAGTGTCTTTGTTTTGTAAGAAAAGCACATGCTCACTTGTGACAGTTAGTGGTAGTAAATTCACATAGCGGGTTCTTTTTTATAGGTGTGCAACCTTTATCTTATCCAATTTATCTTAGTTCATCCATAACCTGTTCCCTTTATTAATGACACATAAATCAGGTCGCCAACCATTTGAGCGTCGCCACACAGTGCCACGGAGCTTCCAGCCGAACGCTACGACCAGCGTGGAGGTAGCCATGATGTTCAGGGACGACTCTTCTGAGGTGATGATGCTATATGATACCAATTGCTCAGCCACAGTGGTGCGGCTAGCCCAGTCAGAACGCCTGGCCTCACTGCTCCTGCTTCCTAAAGCTGAGCTGCAGCCCCTGGAAGACTGCCTCTCTGACAGCCGCATGAGGTTTTGGCTCAGCAACCTAAAGCCGGGGTAGGTGGTGAGTCCAAATTGTTGAACACGAATGAGTTGCAAACCAATGTCAAGCTACCCTTTCATTCGCATTTTTTTCTGACTGCTTGCATAGACTTTTGTGTCAGCAGCTTCAAGGATGAGTCAATATAAAAATTATTTCACATGTGCCATTTGGCGTCCCTATTTCAAGTCTGTATTAAAAAAGTTCTTACTTAAATAACTTCAGAAAATAATGAGGGCAGAACACAGTCATTGTAAAGCTATAAAAGAAAATTTTAATGCCTTTTTCTTATTTAACCTAAAAACAATTAAGTATATACAACAATCTTATTCATCCCCAGTGGTATCCAGCAATGCGAAGTGTTTTTATGTGTCCTGTTTTCAAGACATCTGTCTTTGAGATTTCTGTCCTGGTTCAATTTAATGGAGGTGAATGTATTTTCTTTTGTGGTGCAACATAAAAAAAACACGTTTCTGTCCACTGGTTTTTAAGAGGAGTCTGTAACCTTTCTCAAATTCATACATGAAATTTGAGAAACAAAATGCCATATTCATGTTTTTTAAACATTTTTTATTTATTTATTTTTGGATGGATGAATATGTGTAATCCTGGACAAATAAACCATGAAATTACAAGGGCATGGGTAAGTACTGAAATATGTTTGCTTATTTTTTTTTCTGTTGATTTTTGTAATTTGACAATGCAAAAGTAGTATGTTTTGCAGGACTTTTTCAAGTATTGTGTTTAATGCTTAGGGTTTAGACGTGAAGTATGTCTGGGAATACTGCGTAAATGTGTATAAGCATATATTAACCCAAAGGTTGGGCATGTACAGTACATGCCCTCTGTATAGTGTGTTTGCTTATCCCTGAGTGAACAGTATATTGATCCATGTCATGCTGCAGACTGGTCCCCTCCTGTCACTTGCTTTCTGTTGTTCCGTGGCATGATGAATGATGCTGAGTAGATTCTAAGTCAGCAGTAATTATTGCTCTCTATACATCAGTGAGTGAAAGCCTGCACAATGGCTCCCATGTGTTGTAACAAGACAACTTAGGGCAAATCCATTCACAAATTGATTGTTGTTTTCACAGGCGGGCAGAAATCCTTTTCCCTAAGTTCCAACTGAGGAAATCCTACAGTTTAAAAAGCCTCCTGAAGAACTCTGGAGTATCATCCATTTTCTCAGACTCAGCAGACTTCTCAGGAATATCACCCAAGACAATGCTGAAACTTGTCAAGGTTAAGAGAGAGACACTATATCCCATTATTCTTTGTCAGAATGTAATAAGTACTTGATTGTGACCTTTGAGGAGCATATTACACATTAGAAATTCACTCTCATTAACTTTGTGCAATGGGCATGCTAAGCTATACTTGTCATTCTCTCTTTACCACGTACATTCACTCATGTTATTGTCTCGATATCTGTTCTCCCAATACTCCTGTTTCTGTGTCTTTATACTCAGGCTCCTCATCAAGTTATGCTGGAGGTGGAAGACACCAAGTCAGAAGATGGGAGGAGACCTGACATCATGCTGGACTTCTGTGTCCCTCCGAGAATCACCTTTAACAGACCGTTCATGCTCATAATCTATGACGATCTCACAGGGCTCATCCTGCTCATAGGGAGAATTATTGATCCCACAGATGTCTAGACTAGAGTGAACATTACACTCTCCTTTTTGTCCTTTTTTTTTCTTTTGTTATTGATATAATACAGCACTCACTTACATTACAAAACAGCTTTGGTTTGTTTTTTCCCAGTAGTATGGCATCTCATTTTGGGGGGGGGGGAATTTTCCAGCAATTTCACTGAAGTTGCAGTGAGTGTGTTTTGTTTTACCTCCAATTTTCCAAACCATTCAGGATGATTTATAGTTCGTTTTTCCATTTTCACAAAATGATGAAACGACATTTAAATGGCTGTAATTTATCCTTGTGACTGAATCTCTGCTATTCTTGCACAACATAAAACACTTTTCTTCCATTACAAAAGCATTTTCTCTTTTGTCGTTTTTTTCCCCTTCCGCAGCCCATTTCCTCCTGAAACATCTCTTTATCGTCTTATGCAATTATCAGAAATGGATTTGCTAGAACATCTAGGCTTATTCGCAAACACAAAAAAGAAAAGTCTCATAAAACAGTGTTACATTTTCACACAGCAGAAGAGTTAAGTAGCTCCTGAACATTGGCTCATTTTTACCTTGGTGTCAGGGACCAAACAGTCAAGCAATGAGGAGAACAGGAGTTTGTTGAAAAATAGGGTCTTTTTTT